GCTCGCATGCTCATATGGAGCAGAGTGCCCTGCCGTTGGAAATGGCTTCAGAAATCTCATAATTCCTCTTCCGGAAACATTCCAATCGCCCACACGAATCCTGGTGGCGACGGACTCCCTGTCGGCAATTGAGGCACTCCGAGTTGCTCCAATGGCCATGCGAAGCCGCATTACTGAGGAGATTTGGATTATGCTACTTTCCTTGATGGAGCGAGGTCACTCTGTGGAATTTATATTTTTACCATCAGACTGCGGTATCCCACGCACTGAGGCCGCTGACGAAGAAACCACGATTGCACGATCCCTCCCGCAATGAGGAATCCCAATCTGGCACTTGGACTTCCTTGCCGCCGTCAAGAGGTTATACCGGAAGGATGTCCAGGAGGAAAAGGAAGACGCGCACACCGCATGACAGGCGCTCTTCGGTGTGGCGAGGACTCTGTTTTTGTCGTCCGCCCCGACATCGCGCCCCGAGTGGCAGCACTCCGTACAGGCGCGATGCGACTCCTGCCCGCTCTTCGGCAGGCCTGCACGCGCCCTGCAGATCACAAGGAACCCTCTGTGTCGGTGGTGCCATCGTTCCCTCACCGAGGAGACCGGCCCGCCACCGCCTCCGCCGGAACATCTTCCCGACGTGAACACCGCAATTCCTTGCCGACCAGCGAGCGGCGGATTGACGTCCTCCTGCCCAATCTGCGGCTGAGTGCGCTCGCCCGTCCACAATATGGAAGCACGCGCCCGACATGCTCAGCCTGGCGTTCCGATAGTTGAAGAAGTCCTTGCACGAGGATGCTGCATTGGCGCCAGCGTCTTTTTAACAGGCGCCTCGCGCGCAGGTCGCCACCGAAAATGCCAAGCGTATCGACGGGAAAAAAACGGACAAAGCACATCTGCAAGCTCCAATGACAACCATTGCTCTTCCGCCACCACTTCATCACAGACGCCACGGACTGCTGATCCCACGACGAACCACCGGATACTTTGCTTCATCCACTGTGGGAATGCCTTCGTTGTTGAGAGTAAGGACTGCAACTGTTTGGGAATGCCCAGCATGCACGACGGCCCGTATGCGACGGAGTAATTGCCACTTTGGTACGGACGGCCCTTGCGCTACTCAGTAATTGTTTTCACAACGTACAACGAAAAGGAAACAGAAACGAATTATTTTTGTGATGAATATTGGCTGCACTTCCCGTGGACCAACAATCCACGTGGTGTGCGGGGATCTCTCCTTTTTATTATAGTTACTTTGCTTTTGTGTTGCTGTGTGCGCTGCACCTCCTCCTGTTTGTGTGCGTGCCCTCCGTGAGGGGTGCCGACACGACGGACCGCTCTCGCCGTATGTGTACGTGCGGTGGAGCCTTGTGTGCCGCTCCTGTTTGCTTCTCCCTCTTCCATCTGTGTGTTGGTGTTGCGGCAGGGCTGTGTGTGTGTGTGTGTGTCTGTTGCCGTGGATTGGAGTGTGTGTCGTGCGTGGTGTGCGGCGTACGGTGCATGCCTGGCTGCTGCCCTCTCCTCATGTGGTGTGCCCTCTGTGTGTGTCTGCCGCACCTCTCGTCTCCCCTGTTGCTCTCCATTTCCCTCACTGTGCAGATCAGCTCCACACCACCGAACGACACACTCACGATGATGACGTGCCGTCTGCTGTGCGCCCTGCTGGTGCTCGCCCTGTGCTGCTGCCCTTCCGTGTGCGTGACAGATACTGTTGGAAATACTAATACTGAGACGAATATAACCCCTAAAGAAAACGTAAACAAAAGGACCGTTACTGCAGTGTCATCGAGTACGCCCACTAAGCCAGGGCCAACGGCTCCGGCGGACACCACGGAAGAAGTTTCAGAAGAAGAGCCCGGTTCGTTACGCTCATCGGATTCGGTCATTGCGGGACAGGTTGAAAGCAATGCCGATATGGAAATAAAACCAAATACGACGACCACGACCACGACCACGACAACAAAAGCACCAACCACAAATACGACCACCAATAAAACTACGACGACGACCACTGCGCCAGAGGCACCAAGTACCACGACAACTACAACCACTACGACGACCACCCACGCACCGTCACGTCTTCGTGAAATCGACGGCAGCCACAGCAGCTCTGCGTGGGTGTGTGCCCCGCTGCTGCTCGCCGCATCCGCGCTGGCGTGCGCCGCTGTGGGCTGAAAGGGAGCGTGGGCTGTGCGTGCCAGCACTCAGCCACGGGGACATGTGGACGTCTACTGTGGTCCGATGTATAAAATAAGAGTAATTATGATGACTGTTTTTTGCTTTGTTTGGTTCCGCTGCCCTGCTGTGTGCTCCGCGTTGCTTCCCACATCCGCCACGTTGAACGCATCGCAGAGACACTCATATGCATGCGCAGCGGAGCTTTGGATGTGGCTTTTTTAAATGCTTTTTTGTTCTTTTTTAATTTTTTGCAGGGCGCTGTGCGAGTTTTGGATTTGTGTTGGTTCCATTTGTGTAATGGTGTGTGCGCTGTTGCTGCTGGTGTGCCGCCACTTGTTACTCTGCGGTGGTTTTGCGAATTGTCTCACCTTTTGGTTTTGCCCTGCGTTTACGTGTTGTTAGTTTGTGCTGAAGGCTGCACGCAAGTGACAGGAGTGATGACGATGATGACTGGCCGTGTGCTGCTGGTGTGTGCCCTCTGCGTGCTGTGGTGCGGTGTATGTGCGGTGGAAGTGCCAAAGGCCGATGCTTCTGAAAATACCAATGTATTTCACGTTCCAGCAGAGGGGCCACAGCCTGAATCCGCAGGCAGAAATACCGGACAACAGGAACCATTAGAACACGTCAGTCAAGAGCGTCAAAACGCGGGTAAACCGTTGGATCCAAAAAACGAAGCGACTGATGATCAGAAGAGGGATCTGGAAATTGAAACACAAACAGCCGACGAATTAAGGGGCGAAAAAGGAGAAGTACACAAAGAACAAATAGATGGAGGTGCAGGAAGAGAAAAAAGGGAAGAAATACTTGAAGAACGAAAAGCGCCGCCGGATGGACGAGGTAACGAAGGAGGAGCAAGACAGGCAGGCAATGGTTTAGCGAAAGTGGGAGTTCACTCACCAGCAACAACGCCATCAGGAGGGGAACGACCAGGAACCAGTGAACCATCACCGCCAGAATCTTCATTACCGGCAGCATCAACGCAGGAACCTGGAGCAGCAATACCAGCTTCACTGCAAGAAGCACCAGCAGCGACAATGAAAAAAAAAAGAAAAAACAGTGGAAAACCCCAGAGCAGAACCAGGAAAAGAAAAGCTGAGCTCTGAAGATGACGTGTCAGAGCAAACGTCTCAAAGAGTCAATGACGGCGTGGAGCCAAACAATGAGTTAAAAAATGATGAAAATGTTTCCGTTGTGCTAATCGAACAGAATGGTGAATCGGACGGCAATTCTGAATCAACACAAGCACGGCCCCTAGCTGTTGGTGATGCCTCTAATATGGACGCAGAAAAGGGCAATGAAATGGGATTGCAGAAGAATAACCCCACAGATAACGGTGCAGTAACAGAAGGTGCAAAACGAGGTGAAAATAAACATGGCAACAGGAAGGAAACAACAGACACAGCGACCATAACTCAAACAAATGAGACGGCGACAAAAGACGACAGTGACGGCAGCACCGCGGTCTCCCACACCACCTCCCCTCTTTTGCTTCTTCTTGTTGTTGCGTGTGCTGCTGCTGCTGCGGTGGTGGCCGCGTGAGAGTGAGGGAGAGAGAGCCGTGCACCGCCCGCACACACACTCGTCTTTCACTCACTCTCTGTGTGTGTGTCCCCTTGCATGGACTCTCGCCCTCACCTCACCCCACGAAGCACACACATAATGTGCCCATTGTATATATGCATGCACACCCATGCAGGCCCGTTGGTGCTCTCTTTTGCACGACACGCACCGCTGCCGTCCTGCCTGGCTGCATGGGCGGAGCACCGTAACTGTTTCTGTTTTGTTTTCATTGCATTGAGTGGGCGACCTCTCTCTCTCTCCCTGTGTGTGTGTGTTTTGCTTTACGGGAGCAATGAGAGTGTGTGCGCTGGTCGTCCCACGCTTCGGCTTTTTGTTTTTGAGTCTCTGCTTGTGTTGTAGTTGAGTGCACCCATTCCGCGGGCTGCGTATGTGTGTTTGTGTGTGATGATATGAGTAATTTGCGTGTGTGCTATCCGCTTCTCTCTTCGTGGGTTCCTTCTTTGGACTTTTTTTGCCGCACAGCTGCTCTGCAATTATAGGCGCTGACAAACACACAAGCACATGCACACACATACAAGCCCTGTTGCACACGCTGTGGAGCGGTGTGAAGGCACGCACGCACGCACAAGATTCTGGCTGTGGCGGCCCTCGCGAGAAGAGCTTGAGTCCGCGATTTGTCCCAGCGACATTTTGCGGGCGTGATGTTGGCGGTGTGCTGTCAGTGAGTGGTGTGGCATTTCGGGTGCCTGGGACAATTGCTTATTGACTCTCTCCCAACAGCTGTACCTGCCGACGTGGCACTGCCGCTGTGTATCCGTTGACGGGGGATTTTCCGGCGTGCGGAGTGATATGCGGGTGCACTGCAGAGACAACAGTAATACGACTGGCGGCAGCGCATGGGTGCTGCGAGGGGCGGCTGTATTCTTTTGCATCCCGTTGGTTGTGTTTTTGCGTGGGCGTTGTTCAGTGTCTGCTGACGCGTGACGAATAACGACACACACGCCGTGGCTGCTGCTGGTGGTGACCGTCGCTGTGTGTTCCCGGTGCACTGTTCTTCCTTCTCCTGTTCCGTGTGTCTGTGTGCGTGAGTTGTTGTTGTTGGGAGTGACTGCGGCGGGGATGATGGTGCCACTAACTGTGGATGGGTGGCTGTGCTCACTCTTTCATCCTTTTTTCTTGGTATGTTCTCTTTCTATTTCTCTCTCAATTACACACGAAGAAGGAAAACAAGCGCTAAACGCTACTGTGAAATTCGAGGGCACTGAAAGGACCAACAGCACAAACACCGCCCACACACACATATTTATATGCACTCACGTGTTGCTGCTGTCAAGGCACCCCGCACACACAACCGTTACCGCGTGACCGGATCCAGCGGAAGGAGGAGGGAAGGAGGAGAGAGTGAGCCGCAGAGGCCCATCATGTCGCGGCGTGTGTTTACTTCCGCGGTGCTGCTCCTTCTCGTCGTGATGATGTGCTGCGGCAGTGCGGCAGCGTCTGCTTCGGAACCTTCAAAAAGGAAATTGTTTGTTTGGAGAGACGTGAGAGATGGAGAAACAGTGAGCTCGCTCTGTGTTCCCAGTCTTTTGAAGGTGGGGAGTGATGTGTTTGCCGTTGCCGAGGCGCAGGACACGAAGAAGGAAGAAGGCGATTTTACTGGGATTGCCTCGGAACTCCTGGAGTGGAATGGTGAACAAAAAAAGGAGGAGTTGGACAAAACTAAACTGAAGACACAAGTACTGGAGGAATGTCCATCCGATAAAGCCAACTGTGCCTCCCAAATCGTTGCTCAGGCTAGTTTCGAAAGAGGGACGAAAGTTTATTTGGCCCGACCAACAACAGTTGTGCAGGGAAGTGATATTTACATGCTTGCTGGAATCTACAACCTTGATGCTGCCGATAATACTTCGGCTTATTGGGGACTTTTGCTGTCGAGAGGGAACGTCAGTGGTGATGAGAAGAGTAAAAAACGAATTCATTGGAATCATATTGACGCTCTCCAGAGCATTTCTAACATGCAAAAAGAAGAATCTTTGACAGATTTGATTGGAGGCGGTGGATCGGGTGTTAAGATGAATGACGGTACGCTTGTATTCCCAGTGGAAGGCATTAAGTCCAATGGCGCAGCTGGAGTAACAGACACCGTTTCACTTGTCATACACTCCACGGGTACTGAGGGTTGGAAGCTGTCGAAGGATGTTTCTGCCGGTGGCTGCAGTGATCCCTCCGTCGTGGAGTGGGAGGACAAAAAACTCATGATGATGACTGCGTGTGATGATGGCCGCCGCAGGGTGTACGAGTCCGGTGACAAGGGGGACTCGTGGACGGAGGCACTCGGGACACTCTCGCGCGTGTGGGGCAACAAACACACGGGACCTGAGAAGGGCGTTGGGAGTGGGTTTATCACAGCGAAGATTGATAACAGGGACGTGATGCTTGTTACTCTGCCGGTGTATTCTAAGGAGAAAGAGAAAGAAGAAAACGGAAAGGGCAGACTCCATCTTTGGCTGACGGACAATACGCACATTGCTGATATTGGGCCGGTATCCGAGAAGGAAGAGGACGTCGCCGCCAGCTCCCTGTTGTACGAAAGTACTGAAAGTAAAGAGGAGTTGATTGCGCTGTACGAGAAGAAGAAGGGCGGTGATAAGGACACATCACTCGGTATGGCTTCTGTGCGTCTGACTGCGCAGCTGCAGCGGGTGAAGGAGTTGCTGGCGACATGGAATGAAGTGGACGAACGTATCTCTCAGCTGTGTGCCACTTTACTTGCTCAGGAGGATACCTCACCTGACAATCCCTGCCGCAGTACTTTTAAGATCACGGATGGGCTGGTTGGCTTTTTGTCCGGCAACTTCTCTGAGAACACATGGATGGACGAGTACCTCGGAGTGAACGCCACAGTACATAATAAAGGTGGGGCTGCAAAGGCGGAAGATGGTGTGAAGTTCCAGGGAGCGTGGGCGGAGTGGCCTGTTGGCAAGCAGGGGGAGAATCAGCTGTACCACTTTGCGAACTACAAGTTCACTCTTGTGGCGACGGTGTCCGTCCACGGTGAGCCAGAGGAAGATACCCCCATTCCTTTTTTGGGTGCGAAGATGACAGGTGCAGGGAATTCTGTATTTTTGGGACTGTCGTATGGCAAGGAAAAGAAGTGGCAGTTGCTGTGTGGTGTCGAAACAAAGTCTAAGGATCGCAGCGTATTTTGGGGGCCAAAGACGAAAGACCACGTGGTAATTTTGTTAAGGAACGGCACCCAGGGCTCCGCGTACGTCGATGGTAAGCGTGTGGGTGATGTGCCGTGTGCATTGGCAAATACGGATTCGAAAGATATCTCATACTTCTACATTGGAGGGGATGGAGACAAGACACGGAAACAAGAAGACGTGCCTGTGACGGTGACGAACGTCCTGCTGTACAACCGCCCGTTGGATGAAGCAGAGATTGGCGCCCTCAACCCGAATAAAGATCCAATTCAACTATTGGAAAAGGAGGCGGCAAAGCCTTCAACAGTTTCTTCTGATTCCGTTGTACCTCCCAGTCCTTTGGTGACCGCAACTGCTCAGCAAACCGAAACTCCTTCTACTCCTGCCGGAACACAGCTGACGGAACAGGGACAGTCGATGGGGAGCAGTAAAGGTGCGGGCAGTGGCGGTGCATCCAAATCAGCGGTGTCCACTCTCAGTACTCCCTCAGCAGAAGAGGACTCCTTAGTGCAGTCGGCTTCAGGAACATCTCCCGATGGAACTCAAACTGTGGGTGGCGGTTTTACTGCTGATGGCGAGCCAACGATGGAGACAAGAGAAGGAGGAACGAATGGGCAGGAGGAAGAGGTTAATAAACAGGTCGGGGACGTAAATGCCACGGCACTCAGCAGCAGCCTCGGAAATGTGTCGCAGGGGAATAACAGCGATACCGGCACTGTGTGTGAGAGCGGATTGGTGCCATCGCTGCTCCTTCTGTTGGGACTGTGGGGGTTTGCGGCTCTGTGAGGCGTGGCTGGCTGCCGCGTGGGACATTTGCGTCCTCCACTGCACCGACACACACACACACCTGGCAATGAATTTCTCTTCCCAAATAACTCTTATTTACTTCTCCCCCTGTTTGCTTTTTTTGCTTTATGTGCGTTTTAAAGCTTTTGTTGTGTTGCGCGAGTCTATGTGTGTGTCTTTTTTCCAAAATTCTTTTCTTTTTTTTTTCCCTTTATTTTTATCCCCCATTCCCTCTCCTTTTTGCTTTTGGGGCAATCACCATGGACGTTTTCTTTTCTACTCTTCCCTCTTTAATATTTTTTTGCTGCACTCTTCCTGTGAGGGGTGCCGTGTGTTTCTCGCCCAACTGCTCCACTCGCACACCCACCGACACGCTCATGACGACGGCCCTGTGCGCCTCGCCTGCTGCACGCATGAGGAGGGGCCGCGACGAACGGCGCGCTGAGGGAGCCGTGACGTGTGGGCGTGCGACGGGGGCCTGTGGGGCGGAGCACACATTTCTTTCCCTCTTGTTTTGTTTCTTTGCGGCCAGGGCGAGCAGACACCCGCAGCGCCACACACACACAGCCACACCCTGCCGCCGTGTTTTTCTTGTTTTTGTTTCTTTTTTGCTTTTCGTGTTCATTTCACGCGCTGGCAGTCCCGTCAGCATTTCTCTCCCTCCTGATGATTTTTTTCTTTTGCAGCGCTCACCCTCCCGATGGAGTGACGCGACTCCCGTCATGTCTGCGTGCTTCTCTCAGTCCCCACACACACGAGTGACTGTGCTCTGCAGGCCGCACTCGCACGCCGATGAGAGGGCTGAGGGGAGCACCAACACGCAGATGACCCCATGAAATATAAACGATGTGCGGACACATGGAGGGTCAGACGGTTGAAGCACACGTAACCATCTTTTCAATTTTCTTTTCCGGGCAAAATATATACAGACGGTTTGGTGTGGCCACACGGCAGCCAGGCGATTTTTTTTTTAAATTTGTGTGGAACAGTAATGGACGATTTCTTTTTTATTTGTAATTATTTTGTGTGATGGGGTTTGTGTAAGACGAGGGGGACGTTTTTTTGTTTTAAATAAATCGTGTGTGGATTGCCACTGCTTGGGCCGCAGTGCAGTCATGAGTTTGAGCGGTCCTCTTCTTGTTGTTTCCGCCATGCGTCTCTGCTGTACAGTTTTTTGTTGTGCGTCTCTCCACATACTCTGCTCCCTCTTTTCTACTTCTCTGCTTTGTGTTTCTGCAGGCACACACAACCATACACACAAGATGCACATTGCAGTGGGTTTGAATGCTCCTTTTGCAGTGCATGCTGGCAGTTGCGTGTGGCGGCTGTTGTCTCCTTCCGTGGCCATGAGGAGAAGGGAGGAGTAGAGGGAGCGTGCAGCCCGAGTCTCTTTCCCTGCGGGTGCGGTGCACCGCGTGTGACTGCGTTGAGTTGAGCTCCGTGTCCCATTGAGGGCGGGATGGCAGGGAATTTTGGTGCCGCATCGTGGATGGATGAGGGTTTGCTCGCTCCGTGTGTGTTGTGTGGTGGGCGCGGGCTTTGGCCATTTCCCTGGGGCTGTAGAGATGAGCTGGGGGAGATGGTGGTGGATGTCTTCTCCTCCTGCATGGTGGGTGGCTGCTGGCGTTGTGTGCCTTCGTTGCGTGGATGCCGTCTCGTGGTGTGTGAACTGTGCGGCTGGGCCTGCTGCCCTCTCCTCATGTTGTCTGCTCTCTCTCTCTCGCTGTATCCGCTGCACTCCGTCCCTCTCCCTCCTGTTCCATTCCTTTTCCTTCTGGCTCACGGATCAGCTGACTGACTCCAGCGACTCCACTACGTGTGATGATGACTGCGATGATGACGATGGTGACGGTGCGGCTTCGTGTGGTGTGCGCCGTGTTGGTCCTTGCGCTCTCGTGCTGCTGCTGCACGTCCGTGTGCGTGACGGCCGCTGGTGGAGGTAATGACTCTCACACAATCGCCAGTACTTCAGAGGGATCACGTGGGACCACTACGCCAGGGTCAACAAGTTTGGGAAGCGGTGCGGAACAGTCACAAGGTGCGTCCGGTGTGGAAGGGCCTCAAGGTTGAGCGGCCGGCGAAGGAAACAAAACCACTGAGAATGCAGAGACTAAACATTTTGGTACGGCAAAGGAAAAAAATGTGGCAGACGTTAAGTTACAGGCACCAACGACGACGACTACAACCAAGGCGCCAACCACGACGACCACCCGCGCACCGTCACGTCTTCGTGAAATCGACGGCAGCCTCAGCAGCTCTGCGTGGGTGTGTGCCCCGCTGCTGCTCGCCGTATCCGCGCTGGCGTGCACCGCTGTGGGCTAAAGGGAGCGTGGGCTGTGCGTGCCAGCACTTAGCCACGGGGACATGTGTACGTCTACTGTGGCCCGATGTATAAAGTAAGAGTAATTATGATGATCGTTTTTTGCTTTGTTTGCTTCCGCTGCCCTGCTGTGTGCTCCGCGTTGCTGCCCACATCCGTCACGTTGGCAGTGTCCCAGACACATTAATATGCATGACACGCACACGACAGTTTAAGAGGCCACACTGTTGAGGATAGGTGCATGCGCACTGGAGCCATTTGGGCGCAGGTTTTTGTTTTTTTGTGTGTTTTTACTGTTTTGCTTTATTGCTGCTTGTTTTCTTTTGTTTGGTTTTCAAAGTTTTCCTTGTCTTGTGTGTTTTTCTTGTTGTTAAATTATTGCAGGTTGCTGTGCGTTTTTTGCACTTTCATTGGTTCAATATTTCTCATGAAACGCGTGCTGCTGCTGCTGGTGGTGTTTGTTACTGTGCCGTGTCTCTTTCTTTTGCTTTCACTCTCCGTTGACGTGTTGTTAGTTTGTGCTGAAGGCTGCACGCAAGTGACAGGAGTGATGGCGATGATGATGACTGGCCGTGTGCTGCTGGTGTGTGCCCTCTGCGTGCTGTGGTGCGGTACTCCTGGCGGTAGGTGTGAAGAAGGTGGGACAGGTGGAACTCCGCCTGTTGCTTCTTCGAGTGATGTTGATGAAAGTTCACAGGAATCATCGCCAATTGCACAGGGAGGATCACACAAACCAGGTTTAAAGGCATCAGATGTTAAAGACGGAACTGAGGATTCAGGTGACGAACAACCTTCTACAGAAGAAGAAGAAGAAGAAGAAGAAGAAGAAGAAGAAGAAGGTTCTGATGAAGAGGATCAGGATGAAAGACTAAAAACACCAGGAGAAGGAGGAGGAGGAGGACAATCACAAGCCGCTGATGAAAAACTGGAAAATGTAAATGAAAGTGGACCGAAACCTGAAAGCCAACGCCAAGTCGAAAGTGGAACACAAAACCAGTCAGAAAAAGAAACAGTTGGTGATGGTGAAGCGGCAGTAACCAAACAAAATGAAGGAAGTGGACCACAGCCGCAAGATCACCCACATCCAGTCCAAGAAGAGGATACAAAAAGTGGAGAAGGACATCAACCGTCGCAGGGAAAAGAACAACAAACAAATGTTGAAGCAACAATACCAATTAATCTTGCAGGAGATCATTCTTCGGGAGAACACAACGGCAATGATGGTTCTAATGAAAAAGAAAAAGAAGGGGAAGAAGAAAAGGATGATGAAAGACATCGGGCTCAGGAGAGAGAAGAGGCTGCACATGTCTCAGGTGCCCCGAAAGTAAATTCAACTGATATTCAGCAGGAAGTCCAACACAAAAATGCAGGAGAAACTCCGACAGGAATCAAACAAAGAGCTGGGGAAGAAAAGGATGATGAAACAGAAGAGGAACGAGAGAAACAAATGGAACAACATCAAGAGAATCCTCCAGGCAAAGAAAAAGAAACCATAACTGGCGCAAACACCATTAATCAAATAAACACGACACCTGGCGACAGTGACGGCAGCACCGCGGTCTCCCACACCACCTCCCCTCTTTTGCTTTTTGTTGTTGCGTGTGCGGCTGCTGCTGCGGTGGTGACCGCGTGAGAGTGAGGGAGAGAGAGCCGTGCACCGCCCGCACACACACTCTTCCTTCTCTCTCTCTCTGTGTGTGTCCCCTTGCATGGACTCTCGCCCTCACTTCACCCCACGAAGCACACACATAATGTGCCCATTGTATATATGCATGCACACCCATGCATGCCCGTTGGTGCTCTCTTTTGCACGACACGCACCGCTGCCGTCCTGCCTGGCTGCATGGGCGGAGCACCGTAACTGTTTCTGTTTTGTTTTTATTGCATTGAGTGGGCGACCTCTCTCTCTCTCTCCCTGTGTGTGTGCTTTGCTTTACGGGAGCAATGAGAGTGTGTGTGCTGGTCGTCCCACGCTTCGGCTTCTTGCTTTTTGTTTTATTGTTTTGTCTTATTGTGGTTGGGTTCACCCATTCCACTTTTCTTTGATTGGTGGCTTGCTTTGACTGCGGAAACTTTAATCTTCTTTTGTTATTCCCATATCGTTTTTTTTTGTTTTGAAGTGTCAGCGTTTTTTATCCTTGTTAAGCCACCACGTTTTTCCTTCGACATACGCCATGCGTCAGTTGGTCCACGTTAACCCGTGGCTTGCAGCGCTGCTGGTGCTGCTTGTGGTGATGCGTGCGAAGTGATTGCTAGCGGATGCTTTGCTGTCACCCTGACGCATCCATGCTTTTTTATTTTCGATGCGGTGCGTACCGACGGCGCGTGGGCGACTCCGGTTGTGGTGAGGGTCGTGCCTCTCACAGCGCAGGATGCGTCGCAGTTGTGCGGCTTCGTTTGTAAGAACCGATGGGCGCTTCTCCGCATCAAGACGTCAAGAAGGATCCCTGATGAGAGCAGGAGGCACTGCGGCTTCTCCTGGGGCCCCGGCGATGGGGTCCGCACCTTGTCGCGGTGCTGGGGCTCTGGTTGCATGTAGGAACTCCGCAGCAGGGCGTTGCTGCGAGCACGACGGAGACCAAGACGACTTCACCCCTCGAGAAGGTTCCGCGCCATGCTCGGTGCGGGGAGGTGAGGCGGTCTGCCTGCAGGCTGTCGGAAAAACCTGCACGACCGTTTCGCAGCGATCGCTCCGTTGATATCACCCGTTGCGGTGACGTCCACAAGAACTCTGGTACCGAGGAGGATGGCTACATCACTATTTGGCAGCGTAACGTTGCAGGCCTCTCGTCCGTAAAAAAGATTGCATTTGCTGCGCGGTTGGAGCGGCATCAAACTGACATCGTTTTTTTTTTCGGGAAATAAATGACCGTAGCAAATTAGCGACAAAAGTTTCTGGTTGCAATGACTTTCTTCAGGCCTGCACTGGGCGCGGTGGTGGCGTTGCCATTCTGGTGCGCCACTGTCTACCGTGCGAGCGCCTGTCGCTCCCCGGCACAGACCTCCTGGAGACCACTGCTGTCCGTGCATTTCCACAGCGCTGTTCCGGCATTTGCGTGGCGAATCTCTACAACCCTCCCCACAGCAACTGTTCAAAACTCTTCATTTATTAGTATCATTCGTCGCTCAGACCCGCAGCGATTATTGCGGGTGAGTTGAATTCACACCATGAGCTTCGGGACAGTCGTAAACACCACCAACGACTGGAGGAGAGAAATTTGCCGCTGTTTTAATTGATTTCAATTTTGGACTGGCAAATGACCCGGCGCAGGCAACACGGATCACACATCGTAGTGTCTTGTCCCCTGACGTGACTGCTTATTGTGCTCTACGTGTCACCCACTGGAAATTCACTCCCTACATCGATTCGGACCACCGCTTGATATCTTACTCGGTAGGGATGGATGATGGCATTCCGCGACTAGCCAACACGCCGCCTCGACGGAAGAAAGCCGTATTCGCCCTGCGCAAAGCGGATTGGCCTGCTTTAACCTCGTTGTGTGAAACACTCCCTGCCACCGCGTCCACATGGTTGGACATCCGCAGAGGTGTCTTACGAGCAGCTGAGCGCCATATCCCGCGCGGCAGCCGTGAAAGCCCAAAAACGATGTGGACACACTAAATGGAACAAGCCGCGTCCGCCGCAGAAGCAGCACACAAAGCACACACATCGCCTCATCCGGAGACAGCCTACTTCGAGCCGAATTCATCCAAAATGTGGAGGAACAAAATCAAGCCTTACGCCGTAGTTTCATTACACTTTTTGAAGCTCGTGTGGAAAAACTTTGGAGCCCCATCCATCCCAAGCTGGCGATATCTTCGCGGCATGGCGGCGCCGCACCCTCATCCTCTGGGATCGGTTGTGCCCCGAAATTATCTTGGCTGCGTTTGCGCCCTGCCTTGGCTGCAGGGATACCCGCTCGTCCGTCATTTTGTACGGGTTTCACGTGCCACATTACCTTATACTGCTGCTGCTGCACGCCGCACTCCTTTGGTTCCTGGTGGCTGGGAAATGGATCGGCCTTTTACGCCGTGTGAACTTGGCGTGGCCATCCGTGACTTATTGCTCGGCTCAGACCCTGGCCCCAAAAGCATGTTGAATGAATTCCTGTACCATCTCCGGTCTGTTGCGCGCGGCACTCTTAGAACGATGATCCACAACTTCTTCGCAAATGGCAGCCTGCCTGGCTCCTGGAAAATTGAGGACAATATTCGCATTTCCAACCCTGGGAAGGATCCATGCCGCCCAGAGAGTCACAGACCCATCACGCTACTCTCTGTTTTACTCAAGTTAACCGAAAGAATGACTCATCGCCGTCTGTCAGCGTTATTGCCGCACCACCCACGTCAATTTGGATTTGCACCTTCGCGTTCTACATCGGACGTGGTGGCACTTGTCATCGATAAAATTGCCCGTGGATTGAATGAGTTCAGCACTGTCGAGTATGAGCGCCCTGGAGGCGGCGCCCCCGCACGACACCCTCGTCGCCATCGCTCGTTCGTAGTCTCGATTGGTTTTTCGACTGCTTGAGACACCGTTGACCATGGGAAATCACTCGGCATGCTTGACGGGCTTCCACGCCTTGGCCTTCGAACCAAACGCTGGCTGCACAACTACCTGCGGGGCCGCTATATTGGGGTATGCACTCGCGAACAGCACTCCCGGAAACATCTCACCCCAGCTGGAGTACCGCAAGGCGGCGTCCCGGGACCCCAACTCTTCCTCCACCATGTGGATGATCTGCTGCACCGCATGGACAACATCTATTCTGCCTCCGCACTCATGTGGTCTGACGACCTCACACTTGTTGCCTCAGGTGCGGACATCCATGCCTGTGCTGCGGGAATGCAACAGGCCCTTTCCCTTGTATCGAAATGGGCTGCCGAGCACAGCCTCAAAATCAACGTCGATAAGAGTGAAGCTGCTCTATTCTACATCTTTTTACACACACGGTCTGACGAGGAAATGGTCGATCTCCATCTTGGCAATGGGAACCCACGTATTCAGTCGCGCCCAGCGCGCTTACTGGGCAGCACGATTGATCGACTTCCTAATTTTGGCACGCACGCTTCCACCGCTGCAAAGCAGACCATGCCACGCTGCTATCAACTGCGGCTGGTCGCACAAGCTGGTGGGTCCCATCACACCATGCGATCCTTTTCGATTGAATACGTCCATGGTGTGTCACTGTATTGTGGCGAGGCAATTCTCCCATGCCTTGCCCCCACCTACCTCCATAATATGTAAGTACTGTGCCGCGACAGCTGTAAAACATCTCTTGGCCTTAGAGCATCAACGGAAGATACATCTGTCTACTTGGAAGTCAATCTTCTCCCGCTCCAAAAGATACTCTGGCTTCTTGCACCCACACAATACGAACGCTATATACGCCTCCATGATTACGAGGATTTGCGTTCCCTTATCTACTCTGAACCTATGCCGCCATCCATGCATGGGACAGCGGCGACATCAATTCCGCTTCCGAGAGATGCCGTTATTAATGGATTACAATCCGTCTGTGTAATTACTGGGATACCCCGCAACCACCTTCGTGCTCCTCCTCTTATTCAACGTAGAATTATTCCCTGGGACACTGTGAGCTGCAACGAAGTGAGATTTTATCAGCGACTCTTTGCCAAAGACACCTCTGAAGATGTCAAGCGCACGGCTTTTGATTCTCTTTACTCCTCTTTAGGAGATTATGATTTTGAATTGTGGGCGGACGGTTCTTCATCCCTCGCTGAACTCGCATCTGGGTCCGCCGCACTATTATACGACACCACAAAGAGAAATGATTTCGCTGTGGAGGTCCATCGTGCAGCAGCTGGCAGGCTCGCATGCTCATATGGAGCAGAGTGCCCTGCCGTTGGAAATGGCTTCAGAAATCTCATACCTCCTCGTTTGGAAACATTCCAATCGCCCACACGAGTCCTGGTGGCGACGGACTCCCTGTCGGCAATTGAGGCACTCCGAGTTGCTCCAATGGCCATGCGAAGCCGCATTACTGAAGAGATTTGGATTAACCTGCTTTCCTTGATAAAGCGAGGTCGCTCTGTGGAATTTATATTTTTACCATCAGACTGCGGTATCCCACGCACTGAGGCCGCTGACGAAGAAACCACGATTGCACGATCTCTCCCGCAATGAGGCATACCAATCTGGCATGTGGACTTCTTTGCCGCAGTCAAGAGGTTATACCGGAAGGATGTCCAGGAGGAAAAGGAAGACGCGCACACCGCATGACAGGCGCTCTTCGGTGTGGCGAGGACTCTGTTTTTGTTGTCCACCCCGACATCGTGCCCCGAGTGGCGGCACTCCGTACAGGCGCGATGCGACTCCTGCCCGCTCTTCGGCAGGCCTGCACGCGCCCTGCAGATCACAAGGAACCCCCTGTGTCGGTGGTGCCGTCCCTCCCTCACTGCGGTGACCGGCCTGCCTCCGCCTCCGCCGGAACATCTTCCCGACGTGAACGCCGCCACTCCTTGCCGACCGGCGAGCGGCGGATTGACGTCCTCCTGCCCAATCTGCGGCTGAGTGCACTCGCCCGTCCACAATATGAAGGCACATGCCCGACATGCTCAGCCTGGCGTTCCGATAGTTGAAGAAGTTCTTGCACGAGGATGCTGCAATGGCGCCAGCGTCTTTTTAACAGGCGCCTCGCGCGCAGGTCGCCACCGAAAATGCCAAGCGTATCGACGGGAAAAAAACGGACAAAGTACCTCTGCAAGCTCCAATTACAACCATTGCTCTTCCGCCACCACTTCATCACAGACGCCACGGACTGCTGATCCCACGACGAACCACGGGATACTTCGCTTCATCGACTGTGGGAATGCCTTCGTTGTTGAGAGTAAGGACTGCGACTGTTTGGGAATGCCCAGCATGCACGACGGCCCGTATGCGACGGAGTAATTGCCACTTTGGTACGGACGGCCCTTGCGCTACTCAGTAATTGTTTTCACAACGTACAACGAAAAGGAAACAGAAACGAATTATTTTTGTGATGAATATTGGCTGCACTTCCCGTGGACCAACATTCCACGTGGTGTGCGGGGATCTCTCCTTTTTATTATGGTTACTTTGCTTTTGTGTTGCTGTGTGCGCTGCACCTCCTCCTGTTTGTGTGCGTACCCTCCGTGAGGGGTGCCGACACGACGGACCGCTCTCGCCGTGTGTACGTGCGGTGGAGCCTTGTGTGCCGCTCCTGTTTGCTTCTCCTCCTCCATCTGTGTGTTGGTGTTGCGGCAGGGCTGTGTGTGTGTGTGTGCCTGCTGCCGTGGATTGGAGTGTGTGTCGTGCGTGGTGTGCGGCGTACGGTGCATGCCTGGCTGCTGCCCTCTCCTCATGTGGTTTGCCCTCTGTGTGTGTCTGCCGCACCTCTCGTCTCCCCTGTTGCTCTCCATTTCCCTCACTGTGCAGATCAGCTCCACACCACCGAACGACACACTCACGATGATGACGTGCCGTCTGCTGTGCGCCCTGTTGGTGCTCGCCCTGTGCTGCTGCCCGTGCGTCCGTGTGCGTGACAGCGGTTGACGCGGAACCAGGTGGCTCCGGTGAGCCGCCATCACCGGACGCACCAGGTCCGGAGAACAGTGCCTTAGGTTTAGCTACTCGTAAAGTACCGGAACCGGTTATGACCGATGCGTTAAATAAACAAGTTGCGGCCATTGGGGGAGAGCCATCAGAGAAGTCGTCTACTAAGCAGGGAGGTACAAGTGTGTCAGGTCAGTCAGGGTTAGACGGTAAAAAAACCATCCGACAGGTTCAACGGATAAGTCTCATGAGTCGTTGGTAAACAATCTAGAGCAGGCTACGGATGAGTCAAAAAATAACAAAGAGGCTAAGGCACAGACACCACCAACTACGACGACAATTACAACTACAACTACGACAACGACAACGACCACAAGGGCACCCACCGCGCCAGGGGCGTCAACCACGACGACCACCCGCGCACCGTCACGTCTTCGTGAAATCGACGGCAGCCTCAGCAGCTCTGCGTGGGTGTGTGCCCTGCTGCTGCTCGCCGTATCCGCGCTGGCGTGCACCGCTGTGGGCTAAAGGGAGCGTGGGCTGTGCGTGGCAACACTTAGCCACGGGGACATGTGTACGTCTACTGTGGCCCGATGTATAAAGTAAGAGTAATTATGATGATCGTTTTTTGCTTTGTTTGCTTCCGCTGCCATGCTGTGTGCTCCGCGTTGCTGCCCACATCCGTCACGTTGAACGCGTCTCAGTCACACTCATATGCATGAGACGCCTACAACTGTTTGCGTGGACGCACTGTTGAGGATAGGTGCATGCGCACTGGAGCCATTTGGGTGCAGGTTTTTGTTTTTTTTGTTTTTACTGTTTTGCTTTATTGCTGCTTGTTTACTTTTGTTTTGCTTTTCTTTGTTTTGGGTGTGGTTTTTGTTTTTAATAAATTCTGATATGCTGGGTGGTGCGCTTTTTCTTGCCCTTACTGATTCCCTCTGGCATATGTTGTGCTGCTGCTGCTGGTGGTGTTTTTTACTGTGCCGTGTCTCTTTCTTTTCCTTTCACTCTGCGTTGGCGGGGTGTTATTTTGTGCTGAAGGCTGCACGCAAGTGACAGGAGTGATGGCGATGATGATGACTGGCCGTGTGCTGCTGGTGTGTGCCCTCTGCGTGCTGTGGTGCGGTGCCGGCGGTGTTTATGCGAGGGACGTTGACAACAACGCATTGGGTGGCTGCGTGGCGTCGGAAGTGTTGAGTACGAATTGGTTCCATTTGTCGAGTGGATGTGAAGAAACCGCGCTCACGCCGCCATTGAGGTCTGCGTTGCCCATTTCTGCCGTCGAAGCTTCGACTGTAGAAGAAGTTTCTTCACCCTGCGATGGTTCATGTTCACGTTCCGCTGGTGACAGTGTTACTGGTGGTGGTGTTGGCGGCCTTGATGGAAGTTTGGGGGGCACAGGTGACGTTTCTCGTGCTGGCGTTTCTGTTGTTGGCAGCAGTGGCCCAAGAGAAGATTGCAAAGAAAACAGAGGTGCCAATTTGGTTTCTTCCCTTGGTGGTGCTCCTCCAACTCCCATTTCCAGTGATGATGCTTCTCACTCTCTCAACGGTGAGTTATCCACTCGGACGGAATGTCACGAAACAGTTAAGCACTCAGAATCAAAAAAAATTGCAGAGTCCAAAGTGAAAACACCAGAAATGTCAACACCCCTAAAAGAGCACCACTCAAATACAGAAGACACAGAGGAAAAAGAGGTTGCCGATGAGGGGCCAGCTGAGGGTGAGGCAAGGCAAAACGCCGTGGTGACGAAAGACTCTTCCAGCGACGTGCAAGCACCATTACCACTACCACAAATACAACAATCACAGCCACCAGGACAAGAAACGCCGGTGGTAACATCATTACAGGATGCAAAACCACCAGAAAAACAATCACAAGCAACACCAATATTGTCAACAGAAGAAAAATCACCTAAAGCGGCAGTCACAGCGATTGGAGAAGGTGACCCACCAACAACAACACACGACTTGCAGAGTTCAACAGAAGAAAACCACAAAACGTTACAGTCACCGGCAACAACGACGTCAGAAACACAAGGACAGCATTTAAAGGACGGCATGGCAGAGCAACAGGGTCAAGACGCAACCACAGCGGATTTGGTGAAGAATGCAGCTACCGGCAATCCAGCGGGAAGAACGGCATCATCCATATCTACAAGTGGAAGTGGTGAATCCCAGAGAAAGCCAGCTAAGGAAAACGACGATACTCAACGGCCTAACAGAAAAAAACCACAAAACGGACTCGAGGATGTTAATACCAAAGATGCTCCCACAGCCACAGAGACAGCACCGCAAACAGCGGAAATGGTCACCAACACTCAAACAAATAATACTGCGACTGTTGGCGACAGTGACGGCAGCACCGCGGTCTCCCACACCACCTCCCCTCTTTTGCTTCTTCTTCTTGTTGCGTGTGCGGCTGCTGCTGCGGTGGTGGCCGCGTGAGAGTGAGGGAGAGAGAGCCGTGCACCGCCCGCACACACACTCGTCCTTCACTCACTCTCTGTGTGTGTGTCCCCTTGCATGGACTCTCGCCCTCACCTCACCCCACGAAGCACACACATAATGTGCCCATTGTATATATGCATGCACACCCATGCAGGCCCGTTGGTGCTCTCTTTTGCACGACACGCACCGCTGCCGTCCTGCCTGGCTGCATGGGCGGAGCACCGTAACTGTTTTAAAATTCTTTTTTCTTCTTTTTTTAAAAAATATTTTGCTTCTTCTTTTTTTCTTTTGTTTTTTTATCTCCCCCATTCCTTCTCTTTTTTTTTTTTTTGCTTTTGGGGGCAATCACTGTGGACGTTTTCTTTTCCACTTTTTCTTCTTTCTGTTAATTGTTTCTTGCTGCGCCCTTCCTGTGAGGGGTGCCGTGTGTTTCCCGCCCAACTGCTCCACTCGCACACCCACCGACACGCTCATGACGACGGCCCTGTGCGCCTCGCCTGCTGCACGCATGAGGAGGGGCCGCGACGAACGGCGCGCTGAGGGAGCCGTGACGTGTGGGCGTGCGACGAGGGCCTGTGGGGCGGAGCACACATTTCTTTCCCTCTTGTTTTGTTTTCTTGCGGTCAGGGCGGGCAGACACCCGCAGCGCCACACACACACAGCCACACCCTGCCGCCGTGTTTTTCTTTTTTTGCTTTTCGTGTTCATTTCACGCGCTGGCAGTCCCGTCAGCATTTCTCTCCCTCCTGATGATTTTTTTTCTTTTGCAGCGCTCACCCTCCCGATGGAGTGACGCGACTCCCGTCATGTCTGCGTGCTTCTCTCAGTCCCCACACACACGAGTGACTGTGCTCTGCGGGCCGCACTCGCACGCCGATGAGAGGGCTGAGGGGAGCAGCAACACGCAGATGACCCCATGAAATATAAACGATGTGCGGACACATGGAGGGTCAGACGGTTGAAACACACGCAACCATCTTTTAATTTTCTTTTCCGGCAAAATATATACAGACGGTTCGGTGTGGCCACACGGCAGCCAGGCGATTTTTAAATTTGTGTGGAACAGTAATGGACGATTTCTTTTTTATTTGTAATTGTTTTGTGTGATGGGGTTTATATAAGACGAAGGGGACGTTTTTTTTTTTGTTTTAAATAAATCTTGTGTGGATTGCCGCTGATTGGGCTGCTGTGGAGTCATGAGTTTGAGCGGTCTTCTTGTTGTTGTTGTTTCCGCCATGCGTCTTTGCTGTACATTTTTGTGCGTCTCTCCACACACTCTGCTCCCTCTTTTCTACTTCTTTGCTTTGTGTTTCTGCAGGCACACACAACCATACACACACAAGATGCACATTGCAGTGGATTTGAATGCTCCTTTTGCAGTGCATGCTGGCAGTTGTGTGTGGCGGCTGTTGTCTCCTTCCGTGGCTATGAGGCGAAGGGAGGAGAGGGAGCGCGTACCCCGAGTCTCTTTTCCTGCGAGTGGTGCACCGTGTGTGGCTGCGTTGAGTTGGGCTCCGTGTCCCATTGAGGGCGGGATGGCAGGAAATTTTTTTGCCGCGTCATGGATGGATGAGGGTTTGCTTGCGCTTGTGCGTTGTGTGGTGGCCGCGGGTTTTTGCCATTTCCCTGGGGCTGTAGCGATGAGCTGGGGGAGATGGTGGTGGATGTCTTCTCCTCCTGCATGGTGGGTGGCTGCTGGCGTTGTGTGCCTTCCTTGCGTGGATGCCGTCTCGTGGTGTGTGAACTGTGCGGCTGGGCCTGCTGCCCTCTCCTCATGTTGTCTGCTCTCTCTCTCTCGCTGTATCCGCTGTGCTCCGTCCCTCTCCCTCCTGTTGCATTCCTTTTCCTTCTGGCTCACGGATCGGCTCACTGACTCAGCGACTCCACTACGTGTGATGATGACTGCGATGGTGACGATGGTGACGGTGCGGCTCCGTGTGGTGTGCGCCGTGCAGTTCCTTGCGCTCTCGTGCTGCTGCTGGGAGTTCTGGACATGTATCTGGTGCTGCGGATGCTGTGGTTGTGCCGGTGGATGTGTCGTGTGCTCCGAGTGACGGCAGCCCGAGCTATCGTGTGTGTGCGTGTGTGTGGGCGTGGAAGTAGTGTGCTGCCAGTGCTCAGCATGAGAATTATACTTTCAGTGGCTTTGATGTGCGCATGCATAGCAGGAATGGTGAGCTGGGTGCTGTGCGCCATGAGGCCAATGCGGTGCACACATGTAGCAACTGTGCTGCCAGCTGTGCAGCGGAAGAGGAAGGGGCCACCGTTGCCTCCACGATGAATGTGACGACACATAAATACGCCGTCCCCTATGAATTGTGGTGGCGTCAATTTTCTCCCGATGGAACCATCCATCCGCCTGCACGGAGCGGCGATGCTGACCAGACGGGCATCTGTCAGTTGCCGTCACCCCGTGAAGAGAGGGATGACACAAAATCCTGCGGGACAACTGCGCCGCAAGTGAATGCCGAGCCGTCACGTCAGAACGAGGATTGGCGACAGTTTGTGGCGGCTGACGGACCCAACACCGTCGACCAGAGTCCCGCATCCAACACGGCGACCAACACGTCCGAGACGAGGCCTGAGTTTGCCACCAATCCGAACGAAATGATGGTCCCGAATGCATCCACGAAGAGGCTTTCCCTTGCCAACGGTCCGAAAATATTAGTGGCGCCGAATGCATCCGGGATCATGTCTGTCACTTATGGCGGCAGGGAACACGTTGCTGCGGATAACACGTACGAGGTGAATGAGCGCAGCGCCACTGGACAAAAAACTCCTTTCTTGAGAAAATGGCGTTGCGGGCAGTGGATTTGTTGCTGAGGGTGATGCGGGTGGATTGAGTCAACGCAATGCCTCTGGACACGAGAAAAAACCGCAATTACGAGAATTCACCGCGCAGTGTTCCGGGAGCGGTGTGAGTCCCGACGACTGCTTTGCCCTGCTCTACGACGCGAAATTGACACCGCGAGAGTTAACTGTTGACAGCACTGTGCGTGTGCGCGTGTATTGGGTGCTGCTGCTGCTTCTTCTGGGATTGTGTGGAGTTGTGGCGGTCTTTTGAGCCAAAGAGTGTGGAATTGCGACTCCTCACGGAGAACATGTGCCGCGTTCCCTGCGTGTTAATTTTTAATTACTTATTTTTGGTTTTGTTGTTTTCCTGGAATGATAAGCAACCTTTATTTATTTAATGTTTGGTTGCTGCACACTGTAATGAGCGAAGTGTTTCCCCCTATTGTTGTTTGTTGCCCGCACGCGGTGCCGGCCTCATTGCTGTGCGTCCCACGGACTGCACGAAAGGAGGATTGGAGGAACAGGCCGGATGCCGCATGGAATGTGAAGAGAGTTGTGTGGGCTGGTGGAACAGGACGATCTTTTTTAATTTTTATTTCTTTTCTTGGTGAAGGTATTATATGTATACACAACCACACGATCCTCTTCCATGCTGCATGGCACATGAAATAAAAGTGCTCTCTGATAGATTTTTTTAAAAATTTTCCGGAATTCTGCTGGACCCTCAACCCTTTTTTTTTTCTTTTTTTTTTTTCCTGCCTTTTTAAGTTTTGGTTTGTGTGGCGGTGTGCGAGTTTTGCAGTTGTAATGGTTCCGTCTATCTTTTTTGGTGTGCGCTTCCTCTGGCTGCTGCCATTTATTACAATGCGGTGGCTGTACGTGGTGTAACTGCTGTCGCTCCCTACTTTTTTTCTAGGAGCTTTTGAAAAGAATGATCGTGGGAGTGCTGGCTAACTTAATTAATGAATGTACATCCTGATAAATGAAGGCATTCTTTATGATGCTTTCAACCGTATGAATCTTTTGGGAAGAACGCGACTTTGTAGGGGCAGGGAGCCGATAGAGGCCAGATAATATTTGTTTTTATTTTGCCATCCCACCCACCCCCTTGAAGCCCACCACGCGGCGGGGTCTTGTGGTTGGAGGACCTCAAAGTCTGCCACTTCTTAAGTAATAATATTTCAGATCCCAACTGAGGACAAAGGGCCATGCTAGTGGTCCACAGAATTCTATATATATTGAATGAAAAGAAAACATTGAAGCAATTAAATAACGAACCTTTTTTCCTAACTTGTTTGGTTCCATAGATTATTTCAGGATCCGGCGAGCTGCCCGGAAGATTATTCTTATTCTATTGCAGCTCGAATCCACGTTATTCAACAACGATAGTTTCTATGATGATTTGCCGTCCCTGGCTCAGCCGGCCACCTCAACGTGGTGCCAGGGTCTAGTACTCTTTGCTAGAGAGGAAGCTAAGCGCCTGCTGCCCATCCGCTGCACGCGGAGAGGCAGTAGGCGCCGCTCAAACGGGTCGGAAGGGCACCAGATGGAGCCATGTACATGGCTGCCCGCGGAGCGGTATTTCCATCCGCTGCTGAATTCCATCGGCGCTTATCAGCGCTATACATACTGTTTGCGTGCCGTATGTGACGCGCAACGACAAAAGCTACTGCTAAGCGGAGACATTGAGCAGAACCCAGGCCCCATAGCAGTACTCCAGATGAACGTTTCATGCCTCACGCCGTCAAAACTCGCAACATTAATGGCGCAAGGAGCAGACATAATAGCCATCCAGGAGACTTGGAAGTCGTCGGAGCAGATCGCCAGCATGCATACTGGAGATTATGTGCTCTATGCACAGTCGCGCATCGGCAAGGGAGGCGGTGTGGCGGTGCTGGTGCGGAAAACTCTCCGCTCCAAGCGTATACCCCTCACCATCCCCCAGCATGACACCAGCCTTGAAGTGGTGGTAGTCCAGGTTGCTCTGGACCAGAACCGTGATCTTATTGTAGCGAGTGCCTATATGAGACCACCACCGCAAGTAACGCAATCCTTCAGGCGGTTAGTAAACTGCCTTCCAGCCTCGTCGCCGCTCCTGCTGTGCGGGGATTTCAACATGCATCACCCACAGTGGGAGCCATTCTTGGAGTCTTCTCCAAGCGAGGTTGCTGCAGAATTTTTAGAACTG